AGCAAACTTTACAATACATCTTTCCATTCAGTGACACTTCATATCTCACCAAAACAACACTGACAGCAGATTTATGCACTTTACTGGTACCACAGAGCACATTACACCATTAGCTCGACTGTATTACAGGGACAAAATGTTAATATTTTCTCCCGACTACCATTAACAGCTAAAACCACACATTAGAGAAATGCAAAAGCAAAGCCGACAGGTCTGATTTTTCCTGCACATTCTGTGCACCCACTACATGATGTAGATATAGCAGGCAGAAATAAATATAGGTGTGATTTGCAGCTTATTGACATTTTTTCCTGTAACAGCGTTGGAGGTTTGCTCTATAAATATGTATATGCAAGTCTTCCTCGATTACACCCATGTCCCACACAAATCTGGGGTTTAAATAACTGTCCGACGTCTCCTTCGGCGGATATTCGCATCCACCGTTTTTCTATCTGTCATGTTTTACCGCAATGCTCAATGTCACGCTTACACTGCAGGTTTGTGATTTGCATTTTTTGTGACAATCTCAACAAAAGCGTCAGCGCCGTCACGGTAAAAGCAGTTCCCACAAAAACGCCACCTGATTTGGGGGGAAAAAAACTGATGATTTTGCAAATGTGGATTCAAATAAAGCAAGCAATCAACATGTCCCAGACAGAGACGATTAGGACAGAACTGATAAGATTAGCACGCACCAATCACCGTAATTTCATATACAGCTCCACGGCAATTAAGACATTTGCGTGTGATTATTTGTTGATGCAATTTAAAAGCTCTGCGGTTTCCCTCAATTAGCCAAGGTGAGGATTGGTGGATGAAGCTGCCTGCTTTTGATTAGAGACAGAGCCGCTCCACACAGAAATACACCCTACCTGCATTGTGCTGCCGGCGCGGGCTGCTTCTGTTTACTGCACCCATGGGAAGAGAAAGGGGAGAGGGGAGAACAAAACAACATGGAGACAGATGAACATGATGTGTACAAATGACAGAAAGGAAATTCAGTGAAGTGAAGAGAAAATCAAACGCTTTACATGCTAACAAAACAATGGCTTGTGGCAGTTTGCAGATATGATGCATTAGCGCTTATGTAGGTATAAACAGATGAAAACATTATTTGAATAAAAATTTGACCGTGATGGTGGGCAGCGGGAGGGGGATGAGAGCAAAAAGGCTGGAATGTATATAATTCGGTCACGCTGTTTCTCAATGCATTTCATTTAAACACTGAACAAAATGTCAGGTACAAGAGGTCAACAAAAACAGGCTTGAGCAATTTTCAACAACCATGCAGTAAGTCATGATAAGATATCTGCAACACTAAAAGGTATTGAGTTTTGGAATTGAATTATGATAATATGAAATGGCAAATATTTTAAAAGGGGGCTCCAACAGCACTAATATGCACTAAACAAAGGCAAATGCAATTTACCAATTTACGTAGACCTAATTACATGCTACAGGGAGCAAATTATATTTAAATATATATGAGAGAGAGAGAGCGAAGAGGCAGAGAGAAATCAAATTGATAATTCCTACATTTGTTCATCCTGTTATCTAGATTGTTTTACAGGTTAATAAAAAAGTAATGAGCAAAGCAGGAGTTTGGGAACGTGTATGAAAACGTGTTTTCAGAGAACAGGAGTCTGACAGCAAGATGGAGAGGCTGGGAAGTGAGGCAGGAGATGCTAGAGAGGCCGTGGGTGGGTGACTATGTCACATTGTGGCGTGGATGGAGAGAGAGAAACTTAAGGGAAAATATCACTGCCAACTGCAAAAATGGTAATCTGCCCTGAGCTTTAATAAAAGAACACAGAGGTTAGGCTGGTCCATAAATTATTTCCCATCCTATAGCATGAAATCCAGATGAAGACCGTGTGAACCCTGCTACTCGAGTAAATTAATATATTCATTGATTTCTGGAGTCTGTAGGCAACGGTATGGCCCATATTGCAGCACTGCAGGGCAGGACTGAGTGTCCTTCCTTAACCAGTAATATATGCTGAACTCAACATGCATGCAGAAGAACTAATTGAGGGTGTAACTGATTCAGGGCTACAACTATAAACCGATAAAGTCAGTTATAAACGATGACAATAACTGCCGGTGAAGTTCACCGTCAATTGTTTGAGTATTTGCACTGTGTGGTCAACCTCCATTAGGGACACCACTATATGTGACCCTGGACCACAAAACCAGCCATAAGTAGCATGGGTATATTTGTAGCAATAGCCAAAAATACATTGTATGGGTCAAAATGATCGATTTTACTTTTATGCCAAAAATCATTAGGATATTAAGTAAAGATCATGTTCCATGAAGATATTTTGTAAATTTCCTACCGTAAATATATCAAATATGTATTATCATTAGTAATACACAACTTTAAAGGCGATTTTCTCATTTATTAGATTTTTTGCACCCTCAGAGTCCATATTTTCAAATAGTTGTATCTCGGCCAAATATTGTCCTATCCTACCAAACCATACATCAATGGAAAGCATATTTACTCAGCCTTCTGATTATGTTATTATAAATCATCCTTATTCGATCCTTATGACTGGTTTTGTGGTCCAGGTTCACATATAGTACCATTTCTATTAGACATAAACTCTTACATTTTATTGTTAAATTCCCATAATACCATCACTCACACTGCACATACTAGCAGAAAGTGAGCGATCAAAGAAATCCAAAAATGAACTTTGTCATCATTTACTCACCCTTATGTAGCTTCAAACCTGCATGAATTTCTTTGTTCTTTGGAACACAAAAGCAGATAAATTAATGAATATCCCATTTTGCTCATTTATTGGCAGTACACTATGACTCACTTTAATGTTTAAAAGACCCGAGTGTGTCAGCAAAAAGTACATGCCGTTTGATGAAATTTTTCAGTTTTCCAAAGTGCTCCAGTCAGTTTCAATTCAATATAATTCACAACAAAAAATCCTCAAAGGGCAATTTTGGTGAAAAACAATCCAATATTGAAGCACTTTTATGGTAAAATAATATCCCAATGGATATTAAATAAATTTTCTTTTTGTGAAGAAAAGAAGTTTGGAATGACATGAGGGTGGATTAATGATGATAAAATGTTCATTTTGGGATGAACTATCCTTTTAAATGTTTTTGTCATACTTAAATTACAAGTACTTTGAGTGCAATTATCAAAACAATATTCATTCCCAGACATCAAATTTAGGTTTTAAAGCTATCATAAATTAAACTTTAAATCAAATCAAGGTGTGCAATTAAACCCCCAGTGGTTGAGGTTTGTTAACTTCGGTCACCTGAGATTTGCTGCTTTCAAACTGAATTTTCTTCTCAAAGTGATCAAAACAGTTGTTAGCTGCAGCCCTAAATAGAGCCTTAAATCAGCACACAATGGAGAGACTGCAAATCAGCCGTGTCATATTGCAAAGGGTTGGACACATAACCAGGGACTCATAAATATTCTGAAGAGGATTCATGCGATATCAAATCTGTTTCCTGGGCAGCCAGAGCTGAGGAATGTGACTTTTCTCCCTCTGACAGCTGAATCAACGCCATGGTTGGAGAGCAACTTCCAATAAAAGATAAAAATAAATGTACATTTCTGATCCCCATTAACGCTGAATGTCATGTTTATATAATTATTTATTAACTTCTTTATTGTGGTGCAGCGTTCCAGTCTCACCCGGCCATCTGTCCACAGTGAGGTGTGGCGTGTGCATTCTATTATAGCGGCCCTGAAGGGGGCCGAATAGGCTGGACCTGCGTTCACCTTCAGCTAATAGCAGAGAACACCCTGCGGGCAGACTCCAGTCGGCCCTGTCCACAGGGACTCAGACCTTCTGTCAGGGCTTAGGATCACTGTTTTTACCTTGACAAAGTTATCATGGACATGTTTATACAGGCCAGTGGAGCCTATACAAAAAACAAACAACCTAGAGGTCTGTGTTTTACAAAAAGCGGAAAGGTGGCCTCTTTTCCACAGAAAGCTAATAAGAACAAATATGAGAATAAGAATGACACATGTAAAGCATATTATGTAATTCAGACTTGCCCTGATGCCCTGTTACCTTCAGATACCACTTACATTTTTAGCATTTTGGACACACCCACAGCAGTCGTGAGCTCCAACTACCGTGCATCCCGCTGGTGAATGTTCTCACGCTACAGAAGCTCTCACACACTCGCACTTCACCTTCAACAGAAAGCCCAGATGGAGAGCCATTCTAATGATTGGCATGTGTTGCTATCTCTCTATTAACCTCAGAAGAACTCTTAATCTATATATCCCTTTTGTGTTACACCTAATCTATTCTCTTTTTGGCTGACTTTCTAGTGCTCATCTCTTGCTCCCACACTATCCCTTCCCCCATCTCTTTCTTTTTCACACAATCCCTGTCTGTGACTATGGATTTTCTAGAGCTGAGAATCAAGAAGTGGTTCCTATTCAGTGCAACTTTCTATATACAAAAATACAAGTGAAAAATTTTGGCATGAATAAATGACTCAAATCTATTATTTTTAAATCGACTTTACAGTTACTGAATTAGCATCTGACTTACCCACTGAACCACAACTGATTACTGTTGGTCATATTCAACTCTACTGAATTCAACATGCAAGAAAAACTCACTTATGTTGTACTTAATGTTTATGAGACTTATCGGTGATCATTTAATCACCTTCATGATGTTCCAAACCTATATGGCGCTACCAAAACGAGATATTAGGAAGAACGCTAGCCTCAGTCACCATTCACTGTATATTTTTTCAATCCAACTTCTTTTATAGTGTAGTGGTTTGAAGTGACCTGTGCCTTTTTTTTTTTTACTCTCTCTTTTGTCAGTTGCTGTTTCTCTTTTAGTATTATTAGTATGTAAATAAGAGATCAGAGTCGCTATATTATACGGACAATTTGATGGGATGGGATGGGATGGGATGTAATATATCCTCTCATCTATTAACATTAATGAAATGCATTTACAATATCTTATTTTTTCACAGCACTGTATAATAAAATCTAACTTGCATTATAGTAGTATATAGTTAAAGAACTGTTATGGAATTGGAATCTTAACCAGAACCATTAATTCCCATTCCTAGTCTCCTCCTCCCTGCTGAATTCCCATTTCTCTACTATTCTCCCTGCAGGTGAGTCGAGTCTGGATACAGCCGTGAGGCTGCAGCAACAGGATGTGACTAGCAACAAAGCCTCTCTGAGCCTGTGCATTCTTCTAAAGAATGAGATCTCATTAGTCTGTACGAAAACCTGTAGAGAATGAGAGGTGGGACCTCGGACCACCTGACTACATCGTGGCCTCTGTCCAGCTCACTTATCTCAGTCTCATCCTGTGCGTAACACCACAGGGCAGCACTTAATTATGAGCCGAATCGCGCTTCAAAGGCTCGCCTGCCATCGCAGACATGCAAACTCCCAGGGGTGTTTATCACTGAAAGGAAACTACTACACATTGGTCTAGACGCAACACACTTCAGATGCTGGTCGGGGTAATGGCTAACGCAAGCAAAGCATGCTGAACTCATAAATAAAAGAAACGAAAAACAAGGGAGGGGTTTTTGGCAAAAACATAAAAGACCAAACTGTTAAGAGACATTGTTCTGCTAATTAAACACTAACGGCAGAACAAAAGCATGAACCGACTCATTCCATGGCCTGCAGATCTCACACAGCCCGCGTTCGCTGGAACAGCGTCAGCCGTATCCCAGGAGTTCCTATTCCTGTTAACAAATAGGTCAATATTGCCTGGTAATGCAGAACAGATACTCTCTTCTTGTGCCATTTTTTTTGGCTCTGTAAGACAGACACAATTGTACACATCAATATAAACAGACAAAGAGGATCAAAGCGTCAGAGGCTCACTGCTTCTCTGCCGAAAGCTTCTCCACCTGAGCAAACACAGAGCTTTCATCTTCCCATTCCGGTCGCCCTGGGCACACGGAATGTTGGGTACCATTCTTTCCAGCATCTAGGTGGATTATAATGCTGCACACACAGTCCACGTACAGAGTGTACTTCCTCAGCTGTTTCTTTAAAGCTTTGTGATTTAATAAGCTATGGATATCGAACAGGCAGACACAATAGGTTGGATTTGAAGTGCTGGCACTGGCTGGGGCCGGAGATGAGTAATGCATGATGGACAGTTAGAGAGCTCTAACTAAAAAACACAAAGAGATAATATGCAAAACAAGTGTCGGTCGTACAGATGGTGTTTGTGAGAGTGGCCATCCAAAAGGGACTGATGGTGTACTTCCAAGAGTAGAGAATCCAGTCGTACGCAGTGATAACCTGGGTTGAATTTTCTCAAGAACTAAGATAAACAGACGAGAAGGGGATAAAACAAAGGGAGAAAGTGGCTGGATACAGATTTACGGAAAGAAGGACCAGTAGCCCAAACCCTGGGTGGCAGAACAGCATGCCATGCTTCAGTGGAAACACCACAAACAACCACAACACACAGTGAGAAAACTCACATGGTCTCCTGCAAGAGGCGTTGACTCGAGAGTGGCCCTGAAAGCAAAGCATATATCTTTGAAAGCATGCACAGGGACAACAGGAAACTTCTATCTGGGATCATTAATTCAGCTCACCTACTTACCGTGTCTCATTAATGCACTGGGACTGAGTTTATCTGTTTATTTAACTCCTCACCAGGTTACTAAATACACTGAAGATGCTTTACAACGCTGACAAAATCAAAGACAGATAAGGCAGTAAAAGTTGACGGGTCAAGGTAGAACCATCATGAGGGATGACTTGCACTATTCGGAAGCCTAATCATCCAGGCCGTTTCCACCCAGAGATATGAGGGCAAGCCCAGACTGCAGGGTTCTTACAGCTCGTGTTACATCACACTGTATGGGGCCTCAGCCATCACCCTCTTGTTCCCGACCAGGGGCACTACTTCAGGCAGAGTTATGGATAAGAGCTGCAGGGTGGAAGTGGAAGATATTTCACGCAACTAAACATGGATTGAAATGGCCTTCACAAAACAGACGGAGAGAGGGGAAAATCACCCAAAAATGACCATAAGAACCAAGGTGAGCGCTGCACCAAAAGGTGAAATTAAATGCATTAACTGCATTAAAAAGCTTCACGCAAAACTGCAACAGGGTTTCATGATTCAATGTCTAAAAAAAGGATGTAGATTAGGGCAGTATGAGAAACAAAATTAACTGATATAGTCACGAGGGCTGTGTATCAATAATTCACAACAGTGTTATTTTAGTATCATTGATATACTATAGTTTTTGTTAATATTTTTAATTTTCTATTTTAATTTTAAAGTTTTAGAAATTTTGTTGGGTGTCATTTTTACCAGTTTTTGCTTTTTAAAATGTCTATAGTTTTTATTTAGTTTTCATCATTTAAATATCTTAATATATTTTAGGTTTATTTCAGATAGTTGCCAAGACAACATTTCTAATTAATTTTTTGAATACACTTCATTTAATTTCAGTTCATCTTTAATTTAACACATTTTTTTTTTGTTTAAGTTAACAATAACAGACCCAATTCACAAGCTGATGTTTTGATCTAAATCGATTTTATTTTATTCATTTGGGTATATTTTCGTAAAACTATTTTTTAGCTATTGCTGTAAAATATTATATTTAAAATGTTAAATACTATACTGCAAAATAAGTAACACTTATAATAGGGACCAATTCTAACTATTAACTAGTTGCTTATTAGCATGCATATTACTAGCGTATTGGCTATTTATTAGTACTTATAAAGCACATATTCTGCAACCCTAATCCTACCCAATACCTAAACTTAACAACTAACTTACTAAACAGTAATTAGGATTTTGACGCAAAAGTCTTAGTTAATAATTAATTAATAGCAAGAATTGGACCTTAACATAAAGTGTGACCTTATTATTATTATTATACACAATATTTATTTATTTTTACAATAATAATAATAATAATATTATATACAATTGTAATTCCAAATATTATTTTACAAATTAACAACAGGTCAGGGCCCAAAATATGCAGTTCAGCTGTTCTTTATTTATTATAATAATTCAGTATTTGTAATAGCAATTCAATAATTGAGCCCTTTTGAATGATTCATTAAACAGACTGGCACAGAAGAGTCAGTGCTGCTCCAATTGTCAGACAATTTCCTTGTAATTTAATTTACACAGCAGTCAGGCGACATGATTAATTGTATTAATTGTCTTAGTGCCTTATTTTTTATATAATCAATCATACTAAATTAATGTGTTAAAATTGACAGGCCTAATTTAAGCCAAAAAAAAAAAATCAACCACAAATGACAAACAAAATCTCTTCAAACTTCTTGTTCACGTTCAAAAGAAGGGAAACGATTAGCACTCAGCGGGTATGTCATTCTGAGAGGCTCAGTGCTCATATTCTGACCCATGGAGAGAGAAAAGCAAGCAGGCTTGAGCAATGAAGTTGGGAATTTAGCATAACAGATCCCCCACACAGAGTGATCAGATGGGCCGCAGCATGACTCTATGAGACAGGGCGACCCCCTCACGTGCAAATGAATCTAAATAAATAAAAAAGCACACCAAAATGAATAGGAAAAAATAAAGAGATGCCTGAAACGATTTTGGTGCTCATGAAACAGGCTTGAAACACAAAAAGCCTCTCAGCAGGGTTGGCTGGAGAGCTGAAAAACAGAGCAGTGGGAGATGTCCAGTATGTTCCATTAACAGGTGTCCTCCAGCTATACGGAGCTGACCACTGATCAATCTCCCTCACTGGTATAGATCCAACTGTTTGGGCAAGCATCAAAAACGACTTATTCTGGCTGGAAGGGGTTTCCGTTTGGCTAAATATTCAAGCATTTTAATAACTGTCACTTCTATAAAAAAAGATTTATTACTTGGAAGGGAAATAACGCGAAACAGAAGCTTATCCATAAAACTTCATATCTACGGAAGGGAGGAATGCCAGAGTAAATGAGCTCTTAAGTGCTTTTTCATTTAAATGGCTAAACGGCAGTGTGGAGGGCAGAGCTTAATATTAACAGGCTTAGACTGGCATAATAAAGCAAAATAAACAGACATAACAGTGCAGACAGGCTTCGTACAGAAGGGAAAGAACAGGCCTTTCATCAAGTTTAGATGTGACAATGACACCAACTTACAAACAACAAAAATTCCAAAGTGTTGCATTCAAACCTACACTGGAAACATTTTTGCAATCTTAATGAGAAAAAAATTAAGCATATTATTTTACCCGATTTAGAAGGATAGTGGACCTAAAAAATTTAAATTGTTAATTTAGAAAATCTGAATATATATATGTATATACACAATTTAGATTTCTCAAAATATGTTCATATATATATATATATATATATATATATATAACTACAAAAGCTGCATGGACATAAAAAATAAAATAAATAAATAAATAAAAATGGACACTTTGACATCAATGGTGTTGGGTAATAGAGAAGCATTGAAGAAAAACCCATATGAGTTTGGAATTAAAGTAAAAAGTGTCTCTTTGTCCTGACAGCAGCCCCTCAGCACGAACCTGCTCCTTCCTGCTGCTCATCAGGACGTCAGAGGCGGAGAAGACTTTGAGAAGTCCGTGGCCGGGAGAACCGTGTAGGATTGTTGTCCGGAGCTTCCGAAAGAGGCCAGTCTGGCCCCCCTGGTGTACTGTGACTCAACAGAGGGCACTAAAGCATCTCTTCCTCTCCTTTTCAGCTAATTAGCTCAGCTGGAGAGAGAACCAGGGTGCTCCAGAAAAAAAAGAAAGAGAAAGAACGAGGGTAAAAAAAGGAAACAGATGACCTCCTCCAGATGAAGCAGCCTTCGAAATAGCTGACCCACTTGTAGACACACTTTCGGATATTTGCGTGTCCTCAATGCAGTAACCCATATAGCGGTGTAGTCTACATAGGGCAGGGTGGAAATGCAGAACTCATCTCTGGCTGATCGGGGGGGAAAGAATGATGGTGTGCATTGCGTTCAAGAAGCCTGAGGGTCTCGTGCTCGTGCATGTGCAGTTCCACTCATCCTTTGCCGGCACATCTGAGGTAGGCAGGAAGAAGATTCTCCCACACGACCATTACCACGCTGACTGTTTTTGGCACCGCAGCAAAAAAGACGCCGGCTTACTGCGAAAATGTTGCTTATCTAATGCGACAGCTCCATAATGAGCACTCTTTCTAATATTTCAGCTTTTTTACAGCACTTTTCATCAACGCCGAGGTCTGATGGAGTGGCGACGCATTAGCGCCGCGATAGCCGTGGAATGGATTGTCAAGCAATTTGGAAAAGCCCTCCGAATTCACATCACATACGCATATTAGCAGTAATACAAAGCACAAAGTCTGCAGAGATGTTAAATGCCAGGGGGAAAATGGACCATGTCTCCACAGGAGTCCAACTGAAAGCTATTTCAATGTAAAGGGACTAAAGGCACTGATGCGGTCACTGCGAGGGCATGGAATATATATAACAGAAATCTGTAAAGAAAATCTCGATCATTCTTCTTAACCATCAGTGAGAGATAACATGCTCATCACAAATGCTGAAAAATCACAAACAGATTTATAACTAGAAGAGCATCTCTAAATATGTGCAAATAGCTTTTAATCAAACATAATTTGGTCTTCATTTAAGTAAGTGTTGCAAACGAAAGAGAGAAGATGGTTTATAGGCTGGGCTTGTCTCAGATGCTTTAATATCTGATGCATACATCTCTGTTAATGAGTCATTTAAAGTTTGAAGCACTTGAACACAGTTTGCTGACTCACTGCAATATAGCATTCATCATTTATTGTGTGTGAGCCATTAAAAAGCTGCCTGTGGGAACAAGAATGCACCTAGCTTTCGACCAAAATTAATAATAAAAACAAATAAAAAAAGAGGATGGGAATTATTGAACGGGTGGGGGGGAAGGAGGGTGGTCAAACTATCGAAAGGGCAGTGGATAAAAGGGTTAGCAAAAGTGTTGTTGAAATCAGAAACCACAATTTCGCTATATAGATTCCTTCTCAAATTGAAAATCAACTTTCAGTGCCCTTTACCATTAAAAGTCAGTGAAATAAAAAAGACAGATGTGGGGACCTGTATTCAATTAGAAAAACCAGGCACAGCTCAATGACCTCAGAACATTAGCAGCGTCGTCAGGAGCTTTCGTACGGTGCTTTAATGGGTACTCACCTCTGAGAGTAAGAAATCTGTCTGAGTGCTTTTGTCAGCTTTTTGGCAAAGAGATTTCAGAGCAGCACGGGTGGATTCCTGTTAAAAAGATGTATGTATCAGAAAAATGTGACCGCATTAATACAAGTTTTATTACATAAAACAGTTCTCTGAAATATTTGATTCTGACTTGTCAATCTCAACATCTTATAATTGTATAGTCGTATATTGATGTATATTGACACATTGGCTAAACTGTATGGAGTGCCACTTAAAAATAATAAATATTTATAATATATAATTATTATATTCTAAAAAGGTGTGTTTATCTGTCAATTTGAAAAGTGAATATTTATTTTTGATTTTTGAATTAATATATTGATAATTGATTTTATTTTTAAATGGCACTCCAAGTCCTCCATAAAATTGTACATTTGGATGAAATACACACACACACACACACACACACACATACATATATATATATATATATGTGTGTGTGTGTGTGTGTGTGTGTGTGTGTGTGTGTGTGTGTGTGTGTGTGTGTGAGAGACCCTGGACCACAAAACCTTTCTTAAGTGTCAATTTTTCGAAATTGAGATTTATATGTCATCTGAAAGCTGAATAAATAAGCTTTCCATTGATGTATGGTTTGTTAGGATAGGACAATATTTGGCCGAGATAACTATTTGAATATCTGGAATCTGAGGGTGCAAAAAAATCTAAATACTGAGAAAATTACCTTTAAAGTTGTCCAAATTAAGTCCTTAGCAATGCATATTACTAATCAAAAATGAAGTTTTGATATATTTATGGTAGGAAATTTACAAAATATCTTCATGGAATATTTACATAATATCCTAATTATTTTTGGCATAAAAGAAAAATCTATAATTTTGACCCATACAATGTATTTTTGGCTATTGCTACAAATATACCCCACTGACTTAAGACTGGTTTTGTGATCCAGGGTCACATATAGGGTCATGATAATGATCCTCTGATTTTACATTCATATCGGCTATACGATAAGAAAAATGTTGAGACTTGGCTTGGAATATCAAGCAGCCTTAATACCCCTCTCGGATGCAGCAGACCGGCAGACTAATAAAATAAGAAATATGGTGCAGCAAAATTTAGGGCAGCCATACTTCATTAATGACATTCAATAAAGACAGTAAAAATTGACAAAGACAAGCCTAGCCAGCAGGCTGCCAGTTTCACCAGTGAGTATTATTTTACGAGCTTTTGCCATGATTTATTAAGCCATTGTGGCCGCAGGTTCTTTTCCCACTAAAAATAGAGCGGAGGTCTCTGGGCGAAAGAATCTACAAAGCAATGATGTCAATGACCAACTATTCTGTTGATTCCAATGTCGTCAGCAGGATGCCCCATTATGCATACGTGTGTTCAATATGCATGCTTTACTGGAGATAAAATAACCACTGCAGCTCTTGGGTCAAAACCCACATCACACAGAGTTTGAGTCACGGGTTCCTATGGAGCAAAGAAACTGCAGTGAGCACTGTGGTATTTACCAACAGACTGTTTTCTCTGAGAAAAAGACTGTGACCTTCAGAGACGTGCTTAACACTATTGGGAGCACATTTTCTGAAGTATGGAGAACATTTAAACTAGTAATGCAGTGCAGCAGCTGAAAGAATAAAGGCGAGTCATTAGTTTTCAATGAGAGCTGGCGATTTCTAGAGCTTGACTTTTTGCGAAGTATGGACAGGTTTTAGGAAGGCCTTTGGGGCATGGAATATAGTGTACGAGTCATACAGTATGCTGTCACACAGAAATGCTGTTATGATACTTTGAATGGTGAGTGGTGATTTTAAAAATGTTGCTAAAGTGGCATGTGTGTGAATACACAAAAAAGAGCAAGCAGGACGACATTCAAAATCTCATACATATAAGTAAATTACAATTTGCATTTTTGGGTGAATCTTATCCACTCATTCCTCTTATCCAATCAGAAGACAAGAAATGTTAAAAATTTGCAGCACCAAAGCTTCTTGAAGTCTTTAGTTTTCAAAGAGAATTGGGGATTTGCAGAGTTCGACTTTTTTTTGCAATGCAGTGCCTATAAATGGGAGTCATCAAAACTGCAGGCAGGGTTTAAGAAGGCCTTTGGGACATGGCATATAGTGCATGTTGTACAAAATGCTGTTATGACACTTTTAAGATGCTTTTGCCACCTTTTTGAAGTTTGAAAACATCAGTCACAATTCATTGTAAATACCTAAAAAGACAAACCAGAACAACCCTGAAAATCTCATATGGATAAGTAATTGACAAAATTTACATTTTTGGGTGAATCTTAGCCACTCATTCCTTTTGTCCAACCGGAAGACATGTTAAAGATTTGCAGCACCAAAGCTTCCAGAAGTCATTAATTTTCAATGCGAGTTGGTGATTTCCCAAGTTTGACTTTTTTGAAATGCGTGGACTACAAATGGGAGTCATCAAAAGTGTGGACAAAGTTTAGCGAGGCCTTTGGGACATGGAATATAGCATATGACTCTTATGAATTTTATAAGACTCTCATAAGTCTTATGAAACATTTTTTATGATGCGTTTGCAACCTTTTTAAAAGCATCTGTGACCATTCAGTGTAAATAAATGAAAAAAGCAACCAGGGAGACATTCAAATTCTCATACGGGTAAGTAAAATGACAGAATTTGCATTTGGGGGGGGGGGGGGGGGGGTCTTCACCACTCGTTCCTCTCGTCCAATCATAAGACACCAAATTCTAGGCGAGATATAAAAATCAGTCATGGATTGTTTGAAACATCATGTACTTTGTTTGTCCTTTTGCTTTTACAGCCTCTTTACTGCCCTCTATTGTTTTTATTTGTCTCTCCTCCTCCATGCCTATCACGCCATCCCATCCCTCTTTTCAAGCCCACTACTCTATAAATCTGAGATGGACCTGTCATATTTCTCCTTCACTCGTCTCCATCCTAGCTGCTGGGACTGGGAACATTATGTGTCTCACAGTGCATGTAAAGTACACGACGAGCTGTTTACTGCCAGTTAAGTGTGTCTATCAAATATTGTCCCAGGTCAAAGGAAACTGCAGAGTAGCATCTCCATAACTTCCTAATGCGAGTCTTGGGAGAGGGAAAGGACATGAAACCAACAGGGTGTTAACTCGAACTGTCAAATAAATGCATGGAATTAGGGTATCCCAATGACAATGGAGCAAAGGAACCTGTTTTTACAATCGTAAGACTTTCTGAAGGTGGTTATGAAACGTTACATTGAACTCGACGAGTTTTCTCACCAACTCAGCCTGAAGTCGTACAATCAGTTCGTCTTTCTCCTTCAGCTGCTGTTGCAGGAACTGGTTCTCTTCTCTCCCAGGATCCTGCACACAAAGCACACACAAACACGTTTAAAAAAAAAAAAAAAAGTCAGTCTGCGTTATTCAAGCCATCGCCCCCAGTTTGAATCTGCAGCCTCGTGTGTGGGGGCGTAAAACTGCTGCTGTTGAGAAGTGGAGGTGTGTTTTCTGTGCCGTGGTTTCACTCTCCTCCATAAACTTCACCTGAACTATCAGGCACTTTCCCACGACCTTGTGCTGTCAGCATCCATTATGTGAGGCTGGGGGAGGGGAGGGAGGGACTGAAGCTTCAAGGACAGCAGAGAAGGACCGAGAGGCCCAGGAGCAGAATACGGCCTCCACGAACAACCGAAAAGAACCATCGCCCCCAAAAACGACATCTCTCCTCTAAAAGAAGCGCTCGATGGAGATTAGACAGCGCTGGCATGAGGTAGCTGGACGCAATATGCATGAGTCTGGAAACCTTCATGAGAGATCAGGAAAGGGGATTATGGTCTTCAATGCCACGTACTTGGAGACATCGTTGCTCAAAGCTCTCTGGCTTTGGCTTGAATGAGCTCCTTTTGTTGACATTACATAAACATCTCAAGGGAGCTGTTGTCAATCTTTGATGCTTCTCTGTAAAGGAAACTAATTTCTGCCTGGAGATGATGATGACATACAAAGTGACTAAATTAGAATCATACTGTACCTATACATTTTTTATGAACCGCTGCAACCCCATCAGCAAGGCTCAAGTATCTCTTCATCACTACCAAACCGAAACATGTTCCTTTGAACTCAAATACTGGATTTCATTTAGCTGTATAATAATGGCCATTAATTATCATTAATATGATTACAATACCATTAAAATGGCCATTATCACAATGAGTCACTTTTGAACTAAAAACAATCAATTACTGTTGGTGAAAAACATACTCACCAAGTCTGCTACCATTCAAAGGTTTCAAATCGCTATGAATTTTCTATCTTTGTGTGATGTATGCTTTTATTTGTCAAGGATGATTAAACTGATCAAAAATTTATGAACATTATTAAACTTATTAGAATTTCAAATATTTTCTTTAAAACATGTCTGTCCTTGCTGAGGATTCTCTAATGAAAAACAACTCAAATAATGTTTTTTGGGCTGCCCGCAGATTATTGTAATAACTATAATAAACATGCACACCATTTTTCGTTGCAACTGACTTGACAGCAGTTCAGCACTCAGTCACGTTTTTGAATGTTCCACACATTTCTAAATCAAATTCGAATTGTTCTCAAGTTTTGTCTTTAGCACTGATAAAGTTAGTGTTAATTTTGGCCATTTTTAATTTTCTATCTTTGTGTGATGTATGCTTTTATTTGTCAAGGATGATTAAACTGATCAAAAATTAAACAATTAAAACCATTTAGGGATATCTTCTTAGGAAAGAAGTTAAGAAAAAATAAAAACAATTCACAAATTGAACTTATGAACATTATTAAAAACTTATTAGAATTTCAAATATTTTCTTTAAAACATGTCTGTCCTTGCTGAGGATTCTCTAATGAAAAACAACTCAAATAATGTTTTTTGGGCTGCCCGCAGATTATTGTAATAACTATAATAAACATGCACACCATTTTTCGTTGCAACTGACTTGACAGCAGTTCAGCACTCAGTCACGTTTTTGAATGTTCCACACATTTCTAAATCAAATTCGAATTGTTCTCAAGTTTTGTCTTTAGCACTGATAAAGTTAGTGTTAATTTTGGCCATTTTTCATTTAGTCTTAGTCTTTTAAATTAGTCTTAGTCCTGTGTCAAATGTACATTTAGTTATCATATTTAGTCAACATTGTCCTGTTGTTGTTTAGTCAAGTTTTAGTCAACTAAATGTCTAAGCATTTTAGTCTAGTTTTAGTCAGTGAAAACTTCACATTTTCGTCATGCTGTATAATGGTTAAACCGAAAATTGATATACGCACTCTGTCTACATTATGAAAACTGGTAAAAACAAGCAACATTATAACAGTGAAATTCCTAATAGTAATTCCAATAATTCCAAATTGTAATAATGTTTCTGTATTAAAACAACGGCCGTTGAGTAAGTACAAAGTAAGTGTAAATTCAGCAACCACAATCGCAAACAAAAGTCAAGATCTCATGACCGAACACACAGGCTGAATGACACTTTCATTTAATCTGATATTAAAATGATTAATTTTCATTTAATCATTAAATATTGCGAATATTAAAATTTAAATACTCAATTTCAGTTTTTTATATTAAAATACATTACATTAATATTTTTAACATAAAACTTACTGACACCAAACTTTGTAGCATACATAAAGCATTTAAAAATGAATAATTAAAAAAAAAATACAAAAAAGGTCATGTCCTGAGCAATGCATGCAGTAAACAGGCAGAATGTAACCTCCTCCTAATCCCTGCCTGTGGGGAATATTTAATTATATCTTAATTATAGAGGTTTAACAAGAGGCACTTTATCTGTACAGTGCCATGGAGGACCTCTAGAGAGGCTTTTGGTCACAGTTGCACACGCACACACGGATACACAACACACAGGACAGAGAGCTGGGTCTCTACCCCGTGCTGTAAAGCTGCATTTGAGTGGTTCCTCCATCTGTCTGTCCTAGATTAAACACTTAAGGCAAGAAGAGGACGAAGGAACTAATAAATGAGAATGTCCTACTATCACAGAGCCCTGATCATAAAAGGTAACACTTAACATTGCAGCAATCGATGCAGTCAAAGAAATAATGCTTTGTCACCAAGAATGCGATGAGCATTCGGTTTATCAGTTTCATTTAATGCTGCAAATATCATAGCGGTAGGTCTGGGCGATATATATTGAATATTCGCTTTCCTAAAGACAACATCATTCGGTTAGTTTTCCAATTCTTCCTAAGACAGAGACAATAGTATTAAACTTCAGTCGCAGAACAATGTTAGAGCTGCTATTCTACGTTTAATTCATTCCAGTGAATCAATTAGATTTGATTCAAATTAAATGCTTTAGTAAAAATGTACAGTATGCGTAGGTAAATATTGGTATTGGTTTATTGCTACAGTATATTGTTGTCCATCTGTCAATCCATTTTCGAGAGTATGCTGGAGCCTGATATATTTTTTTTTTGGTTCTAAATAAATGATTAAATATCATTGTTTCTCAATTTAATTTATTGAAGAAAGCGAGAAAATATGCCTTAATTCTGGTCAGTTATTATTATTACTTTTTTTTTTTTTTTTTTTTTTTTTTTTTTTTTTTATTTTTTTTTAAATCTTTTAAGCGGGCAGCCTTTTTAATCCAGTCCTCTTTTTTTTTTTTTTTTACCAACTCTTCCAGACATGAAAATTAGCTCGAAGCATATAGGGGCCCTATAGCTCTATAGGGGCGTATAAGTCGGGCTCGGGCTGAAATGGAGGGCTCTAAAATAATGGTCTTTGGATTGAAGAAAGCGAAAAAATATTCCTTAATTTTGGTTAGTTTTTTTTTTTTCTTTTTTTTTTTTTTTTTTTTTTTTACTGTATTTTACATTACTCTGAATCTCATCAGCTACCATGTCTGTATGGTCAAAAATATAATTCCACCAAATGGAGGGGAGAAAAAGAATCTAGATATTTCAAGGTAATATACACACTACCTTTAACGATTTGTGGTCAATAAGAAAGAAAGAAATATTTTTATTCAGCAAGGACTCATTAAATTGATCAAGTATGACAAAAATATTAAGCAGAACTGATTTCAACATTAATAATAATAATAATACGAAATGTTTGTTGAGCATTGGAATAATTCTAATATGATGATTTCATCAGCATATTAGAAAGATTTCTGAAGGATCATGTGACACTGAAGACTGGAGTAATGGCTGATGAAAATTCAGCTTTGCCATCATAGGAATAAACTATTTTAAAATATATTAAATTATATAACAGTTACTCTAAATGGTAATAATATTTCACAATATTACTATTTGTACTGTATATGTGCAAATAAATTGGCATAAGAGACTTTTAAAAATATTTTTAAAAAACTTTTAAATACTGGCCACAAACTTTTTTTAATGGTAGTGTATGTTCTTATATATTTGTCATCAAACAGCTAATTTTTTGCCATATCGCTCAGCCCTACCTGCCAGTTTCATAACCAAGAATAGTCCAAGATTAGAGAAGTGCAGAGTATTTGACAGATGTACTTTGAAGGTAGGCATAAAAAGGAGTAAATGTGATAGATGTTCTCAGTTATACCTGGAGGTTTGTGATGTTATAAACTTCAAACAGGACACCCTCAGAGTGGCGAGTGCAACTACACCAGCTTAACAAGGAGTTATTAATGCACAGTTGACAGGGACACTAGGACGAATGACTTTGGAACCCCAGTCTAAGCTCATTTTCCCAGGGTGCAGAGCAAGAGGCTCCATTATTCCCCTAACCCCTAATCGCTGCAGGAGAACGCTTTTCACAGGCTCTAATTATTAAGGCGGCGGGGATAACAAATGTTTGGTGAGAGAAGTTTTCTGTTAAAAGTAGGACGTCAAGTGACACGGTTCCGTCTCAGGTGGGTTCTAGGGCTTTATTTTTAAAATCAGGAATCTTTTCCTTTTTTTAACAGAATGAATCAGGACAAGTCCTACCCCTCTCCTGTCAGTTGAACACAATGTCAGAATGTATGGGCTCCTATTCTAAGCATCTCCCGCTGCATGGCGCTAGGCTACGGATGAGCCGGAATGTCACGTGATTCGCTGCCGCAACCGTCGCTTCTGTTAGCACTCCATGTAGGTCAGTAAGGAGGACAGAGAAAGACGCAGACCTCGTTTCCACTTCGCAATATTTTTGAGCCGAAAAAAAGTCCTGATGAAAAAACTAAATCCTCTTCTACCAAGCAAAAGCTTGTCATACAAAATTACAAACCTTTCCCAATGACAGTCCTAGCCCATCTCCACAAGATTAGGACACATAACCAAATAGTCTCATCAAGATAGTGGGAAAATTTTATTGATGGTGGAGAAAAATGTAAACACAAATTCTATCAGAGAGAGGAGCATGAATGAAAAGAGTAGTGTGTGTTTAGGAGAGGCACAATGGAGATAGAAAATTAACTACATAAAAATGGAGACACCTCTGTCTCAATGCAGTCATTTAGCGCTGTCATTATATTTGATCTGCAGGCTTTGAAATCTTCAGGGAGGAAAAAAAAAAAAAAATGAAAGAGCTTTTTAAATCAAAGTGTGAGCCGACAATAATACCTCAGCAGCAAAGAAAGTGTGCATCCACGTTGCTAATAGAAAAGAAACACATTTTGACAACACTGAATGCGGACAATTACCTTAAAGGGGAGAGATTTCTCACTGCAGGGGCTTATGGGTAGAGAGTGAAGGCTGCTGGCAGGACTGATCTCAGTGCTCTGAAAGGCAAAGATCAGACATCTTAATATTTAATGAACACAAGAAAATAACTACTGAAAAAAAAAGACTATAAATAATATTCTGCTCATCTCACTCTGAACTAGCTGCCTCTCAGATAACTACACTTGCCAGTACTATAAAGTTTGGATATGACCCACACACAGCCGAAGACTTCAAAATATAATTTGCACTCATTGCTTTAACAATTTCACGTAAAAGAAAATACTAAGAAAAAGTATCGTAATTTCCATACTATTGTTAATTTATGTTTGTTCATGTACATTTATAATACATTTACTAATGTTAATTTACACAACTTAAAATGTTAAAACGTATACGCAGAAATTAATAATAATCAAGCTCAATAAATGCTTTAAAATAATTTTTCCTTGTTCGTGATACCTAATACCCAAATTGTGCCACACTGTTATTACTCTAAAACTCACCAACGAAACACACTGGGAAATTAGCTCATGTCGTACATATTATATAATTATACCATCCAAACAGAGGAGCAGACAGCCCTGTCCTCTCTGGGCTATAGCCTCAAACACTTCTCTCCTTCATCACGCTACTGCTGCCTCTCCCCCATATTAATGTGAGGAAGAGAGCTGCAGATGCAATAACACCGTCAGAGACGCGGAACACTTTAGTCCGAGTAGAGCGGCGTGCAGAAAAAATATTGAGCGATAATATGAATGTCAGACACTTCTGTCAGAAAGAAAGAGAGAAAGAGAGAAACAAACAAACAAAACTGCACTACTAAAGAGTAAAGAGGATGATAAAAATGTTAATTTCTTCAAATTTTGGCCAAAATAAAACACAAAACAAAACCAAAAGAAAACAAAATTAACTTAAATGGGTCTTATAATGCCCTTTTTACAAGATGTAATACAAGTCTCAGGTATGACCAGAATGTATCTGTGAAGCGTCAGCTCAAAATCCAGCACAGAACATTTATTAGTCCACACTGTAAATTCCCCTTTTTGGATGAAAGCAAAAACATATTGTTTTCGTGTGTGTCTGTGCCTTTATAGCTTGTGCCTCAGTTACTACAGCAACAATAAACCAATTATCTGTTTGGTTTCAATTATCATCTCTATCGCGCTCTTCAACTGTCAAATACTCACAAAGTTGTGTCAAAAACACAAAAAGTTCACACAAACACAATCCGTTATATCTGAGCTGGGCGGGAATTATTTAAATGAGAGATATTGTGATGTGTACGTTCCCGGAAAAAAAACTCAGTACTGTAATTGACTGTACCAGTTCTCTGTGATGTGCATCTGCATAGAAATCATTTCTTTTTTAAAGCAGCACTTAAAACAAGACAAAAATATAGCTTAAAGCAATAAAATAAAAAATTTAAAAATTTAAAAAAAAAAGTAGCAGTCCTTCTCTAAGGCAATGCTTTCTTTCTTAAAGCAGCACTATTTTTGTGTGTGTGTGTGTGTGTGTGTGTGGAGGGGCTCGTGACATTCAGTTATTCCACCGGCAGGGGGGGGGGGGGGGGGGGGGGGGGGGGGGGGGGGGGGGGAATACCAGGAAAATGAGGTGACTATAATCAAGTATTTTCAACGGGTCTATAAATTTCAAACAAGGTACAATATCACAACCATTACAATGTAATTTTGGTAAATGCTTCACAGCAAATGTGAATGAATTTTAAGCAGCACTTCAGACTCCATAACTATTAAAGGATTCAAGACTGATCCAGCATGTGCTGCTTTTGATTAATGTGTTTTCTACGCCTGCATTTTAAGTACAAGGAGAGGACAAGAAAACTGTAATGAAAAGTGCAAACATATTGAGGTAATCAAAGAAGGTATGAAAGCAAAACCAAGACAAACGTTTCACTAATGCAGATTCAAACAAGATTCAGTGCATTCAAACAAAAACTGCTAAATAACAAAACACCACAAGTAGAGTCAAAATTATTTTCTGAAAAATGCAAAACAGTAATTTAAGAATTTACCCTGTTCAATGTTAAAACTAAAATCTCTGCTCAGAAAACGAAGTAATTATCACAATGGTTATATATGCACATGGCTACATCTCAACTGTTTTTGCTGGTGGGAAATGCAATAGTTATGTAAATGAAACGGGCAGGATGCACAAAAAAACAAACAAAGCCAGTTTAATCCACGAAGGATGCCATGCCAGGTTCTGAATGCCAACAGGCACTACAGTACATAATGTTCAAAGGTATAAGAGCTATTAAATTCAAGCCTAGGTAACAAAAAACTATTTCTGAGAGGTTAGACGCTCTTGATTTAGGCTCTGAAATCAGTCTAAAGCTTTCCTATTATAGTAACTAAGTGTGAGCAGACAATCTATGTCCCTTGCACATATTTACTACTTCAAATTTGGCTAAATTAAAGCCTCTCTGAACATTCTGAACCAGCATCCTCACTGCGCTGCCCTGAATTAGTCAGGAACAAGGTATCAAAAGCCCAAAAGACACACGCAGAAACAAAGAACAGGCTGTGCATAAAATCACTGGTCAAGCAAATAAAACCCACCGCAGAAATGCACAAGTCATTGTAATTCTTGTTACACTGTAGTTTACATATGCTGAAGGAAGATGGCTAATTTACATGTTAATGAGAACAGTCAGTAAAGAGGCCAAAGAACTTCCTATTCAATATTCATGTTCCTCCGTTGTGCGCTGTTATTTGGACCTTTACCGAGGAAAGTGATTGTTATTGTGAGGGAATGTAAAACGGAGTTCATGTTGCTACTGCTTGGGGAAAGTGAAATGGAAATGAGGGTGTTCCGGTCAATAAATTAAGTTGGGCTAGCATTATTAACTGTAAGGGATAAAACCAAGTTTTTTTATTATTATTATTACTGTGGTGACTTCAAAGAGCATTCAAATAAAATCCCATATTATTACCATAACAGACACTCCGTTAATGTTCTGAAAAGTGGGAATGCAATAATAAAGTTCATTTTTATAACTAAATCACAATTTTTTGTTTTTATCATTTTAAATTCTACAAGTGAATTTACAGATCACAACACGAAAAATGAATATCCATTTTGATATTTCTTAAAAATTACATTTAAGAGAGTCATATTATTAGTGTTTTTAAAAATAAAAAAATATTAAAATAAAAAAAAATAATAATTGGAGTGAACCGCATAGGTAATCTAAACGTAAAAATTTAGGGGAAAATGAGCATGCACTACAAATATACAACTGATATCAATCAATAGAAATATAAATAAAATATGGGTTTGTAACCAAAATGGCATTGATAAATCTCTACGAAAAACATTAAATATACAAAAAATACAAAGCGCATCCAAAAGGTATTTGGATACTTTAGTCACACATAAAATCTTTATTAAAAAAAATTAATAAATTCTGCAAACAAATGATGTAATGATGTACCGGTACAGTAGTAGTCTTGCTGTAACATTTTACTTGCTGAACAAATCAACACTATGACACGCATTTCTTCCTCTCACAGCCTTGTTTTCATTTGTGTCACATTAAGTATAGCTTCTACTCTAACCAAGGTCTTCATACTGACTGAATGTGTCTCTTTTGAGTGTGAGATCCTCCTGGTGTTCGCCCTGAATGATGAGGCATGAAACTGCCAGGGCACGGAGAGCTCTTCTACCTGTTCTAATGTACTCGTGATGAAGGCCATGGCAGCTTCATGAATCAACTGTCAGGGTGGAACATTACCTCCTGCAGGGTCCTGCGTAACCGCAGCAGAAGAGTCTTTACCGCTGTGCAGTCCTGCTGCATCAGCCTGAACGGCAACGCTTCCAGCCCGGGCAAAAGTTCATCATCACGAGACAGAAAGAGGGACATCGGCCGCTTCTCCCTGGAAAGATCAAAAGAAAACAATTTCTGTGAGCAAGAAACAGTCTGAGATTTGGGGTAATGATACCAGAAATCCCACTGAAAAAATGGATTTCCAACATATACTGGCACATGAATGTGCATTCAATGTAATTTAACATCATTTAATGCAATAACAATACCATTTTCTATCCTGTTCTCCTCTGACTGCGATTTAAACTGGAATTAAATGTAAATGACCTCATTTTGTCTATTGTTTGCACTGTTCAGATTTCTGTGCAAATGAACAGATCAATCATTCATGTAGAGAATGGGATCAAATTAAATTGATTAGAAGTGCTTCTTGAAAAGACTGAAAGGCAAAGGTTCAGAGGAAAAGAAGAAAAAGACCCTCGAGAGACACTTGAGAGGATAGTCGTACCCTCTTCATCAGGCCTTTCATTGGGTCCAAGTGGATACTAATCCATACATAAACTCAAACAATTAGACTGTTAAGAAGTTACAAAACATTACTTTTTCCAATCTACTGAGATCTTGACTGAATGGCACAGCCTCTATATCAGGGGAATTATATGAGGGGTAAAAATTGTCTATTCCAAGGATGATGTACACAAAATCAAAGACTTAACACCAAAAGGTAAGGCAGTATCTTTTTCAAGACAAAAGCGCTTACGCTCTTCATTTTTGAAAGAACAAAAGCCCACTGTATATCAATGGCGTATATCAAAGTTATCTTCAAAGGAAGCACAGGGTATTTGGACTGATAGAAATGTCTTATTGAGAGTCCCACACAAAACACGAAGAGAGACCTCTTGCTAATTACGACTCTGATTCTGCTCAACAGAAGGATCACATTGGAGCTCCAGACTTGTCTTTATACGTTTCTGGGCTTCAGATTGAATTTAATTCAAGGTGCTTCAGATATAATTAAGTATTTATGCTTTTTAAAAGTACACCGATAACAGAAGATCAAAAGGAACCTTAGTGTTATTTGATTAGAATTAAGCATTGATTCCCGGGAAGCCCTCCAATGAGAGCATTGCAGAGTCTCTAAACAGTCAGACTACCAAACAAACGTCTGACATTTTGTTTTCGTTTTTCATTACCACGCTGTTTATTTCAGGGCCTTTGTGGTGAGTGTCCTTGGAGCTGCAAGAAGAAAGTGAAATTTGACTTTGCTACAGCATGGCAGGTTACAAGCTTTCCATCTCACACTTGTCAATTAATATCACGTTCTGAAACATCCTCTCTGAAAAATGGGAATATGTTTTCCTGTTTCTCAATCCATAGCATCGACTGGTAAAACACATCCTCAAGGAACATATACATTTTTTCTGCTTTGCGAATTTACAAAAGATTTCCTAAATGGCTTGGGTTGCTAAATGCCTCAGAAAGCATAGACAGAATCCTGACTTATTCATGATCCTCACGCTCAGACCTGATCACGCTCAGATCCTCAGACATGGCACATATTCATTAAAATATTAAAGCCAGTATAACTCAGTGTCTGCACAGAAAGCCAACAGCAAAAGCACACTTCATTCTTTGTTTTTGCTATGAGAACCGACTATGGCACCTAACAGATTCCTCTAATAATGTATTTTACTGTGAGTCAACTGATGTATTTGTCAAAGCACGGCATGGAAAATCGATCATTGCACACATGAATTATAAAAGCAGAAGTATGGAAACACTATGTTTATTACTTAAAAAGGAAATCAGACTGAGCACTGCAGTAGTGATTGCGCCTTAACAATTCTAGATTTCCTTTAGCTCTGAGGCGTTTAACACCATTCTGAAATGTTTTTCAAAAAAAAAAGGGAGAACTCAACTTTGCCACTTTCAAGCAATTTCCAGACACATTAAAAGCATAGACCTGGTGTTAAATGGCACTTCCTATAAACAGAACTGTCAGTGTCATTATTCTGTCTGGAAGGGGACGTTATTTACTTGAAAGAAGCTCTATGCATCACGTAATTATCTAGATTTAATCATTAATTACAATTTCAGATGTCAGGGCCTCTGTGATTCGGCTTAAGTAGTGTGATTGCTGAAAAAACTAGAATAAATTAAAGTAGTGAGGTGAATCTCACACTGCGACAACACTTAGCCTATGTAAAAATGAAGCCCGGTTTTTGACAGATATTTAGCCTGTACTTCCAATCCTACAGCCGCCTGACTGAGTGTTTTGCTGTCAATGAATATGCAAATAGCATGCAAGGCAGGAGTATAGCTGCCATACTTAGTGTTGATTTCTTGATTTCTTCCATTCATCTATTTATGAGCAGACCTTCATGTTAATTTAAAATAATAACGCCTATGTAGACTTTAAAATGCTGCATACGTAGGCAGCTCACTAAGTTTTGGAACAAAGCCTGTACATTATTTATGATATCATACAATCCATTTACATTTAGTTGAGGCAATACTGTTATTAATCAGGTCTTGGAACACACTCTGCTCCGAGACGTACCTAAAAGCTGCTGACCTCACGGTCTTTTCATTGTGCTTCAGTTGCAGCTTTGTCTCAACATTTACACTAACACGCTGTAAAAAATTATTTTGCAGCTTAGTTGTTTCAATGAATTATTTTAAAGGTAACCCTAAAATTAAAATTCTGTCATTAATTACTTACCCTCATGTCATTCAAAACCCGTAAGACCTCCGTTGCTCCGAGACGTACCTAAAAGCTGCTGACCTCACGGTCTTTTCATTGTGCTTCAGTTGCAGCTTTGTCTCAACATTTACACTAACACGCTGTAAAAAATTATTTTGCAGTTTAGTTGTTTCAATGAATTATTTTAAAGGGTTAGTTCACCCCAAAATTAAAATTCTGTCATTAATTACTTACCCTCATGTCATTCAAAACCCGTAAGACCTCCGTTCATCTTCGGAACACAAATTAAGATATTTTTGATGGAATCTGAGAGCTCTCTGACCCTCCCATAGACAGCAATGCAACTGAAATGTTCCCAGACAGAAATGTAAGGACATCAGTAAAAAAGTCCATGTGACATCAGTGGCTCAACTTCCATTTTGCGAAGCTATGAGAATACTTTTTATGCGCAAAGAAAACAAAAATGACAATTTATTTAACAATTCTTCTACCCCGAGTTACGTCTTCTGCCATTTTGGAGAGTACCCAAGAACATAATCAGCGTTGTTTACATTAGGAGGGGAAAGCGTGCGCATGAACGTAATCGGCGCAATCAGCATTGTTTACACTTAGGGTAAAGCGTGCGTATGCGTTGTGATACTCTCCAAAATGGCAGAAGACGTAACTCAGGGGAGAATAATTGTTGAATCTGAAATTGTCGTCATTTTTGTTTTCGCATCGATTTTTACAAAGCTCATCGGTACAAAAAGCGAGGTGTGCTCTGACTGGCCAGCTATCCAGTGCGTTGTGATTGGCCGAATACCTCAAGCGTGTGACAGAAATGTTATGCCCCTTACCATATTGTGATGCCGTGTCCCGAAGCGACGAGACAAAAACATTAAAACCCATTATAAATTAGGTATTTGTTGCATCCAGTAGGGACATAATTACGGATTATAATGACTTATACTGTCTTTTTACGCGTTGCGTTGCATCGCGCCACGTAAACATAAAGCCATGTCTGCATTTGTGATCGGAGAAATGAACAACAAGTGCTACTCTACACTGCTCAAAACTCGCGTTTGAATCATCAGTGGCAAATTCTTTAAATATGAAAACATACTTACAGTCTGTGAGTCAGAACAGCCGGCATTGTAGTCTACTCTACCAGGATCAGGAAACAGTCCTCCATAAAATGCGCTGGACACATCGGAATATTTGGGTTGAACTGTTCTGGAACGGTGTTGTAAATACAACTTAACCACTGATTTCTA